ACACACACACACACACTCACACTGACAGACACAGACAAAGACACATACACACTGACACGCACACACACACACACACACACACACACACACACAGACACTGAATCTGTGACACACATGATGATGCTGTCATGTTCCTCAAACTGTTCATGGTCTCTTTCAGGTCCAGCTGTTCAGCGTCCAGTCCAGAACGGGCCGAGTTCAGAAGAGCTGGAGGTCCAGAGACGGTGAGCCACACAAACACACACACTGCTGTGATACCTCACTAGAAATGAACCGTACTGTATAAATCACATTCACACACGAGTCTTTAACTAGATCCCAATAAAAGCAGGGTGTTGTTCAGAACAGCATATATTTACCAAACTGATCTTACTGATATATGGACACTGTCTTGTCAATGTTGAAAACAATTTTTTTTGTGGAAACCGTGATGCATTTTATTTACAGGATTCACAGATGAACAGAAAGTTCAAAAGAACAGCATTTATTTGAAATAGAATCTTTTGTAACATTACAAATGTCTTTACTGACTCTTTAGATCAATTTAATGCATCACAGATGAATAGAAGTGTTAATTTCCACTGATTAATGAATCAGCACAGCTGATGCGGTCAGTGAAACACACACACAGTCGCCCTCTGCTGGTCACAGGAAGCGTCAGCTGTTCTGCTGTCCCATCATGCATCTGGGTGCAGCTTCCCGCATCAGGAAACTCAAGAGCATCTGATCGATTCTCATCATATCGCTGTCAGACTCATTATTAGATCAGATATGAAACACGGCGCCATGTTCCCAAAAAGATACATTAATACTTCTATCCATCAAGGATGCGTTATATTGCTCAAAAGCAGTGTTGGGAGTAACTAGCTACATGTAACTCAGTTACATAATTTAATTACAAAATAATTGTAATCAGTTACAGTTACTGAGAAAAAAAGTTACAGTAATTAAATTACAGTTACTTATGAAAATGTTAGCGATTACGAAGAAGGTTACATCTGAATATTTTCACACACAAACAGATTTAATTGAATTGTTTCATAAATTGCACTGACTGCTTTAATATATGAGACACTAATGCTTCAGGAGTTTAGGACACAGAATAGGGTTTATGTTTATGCTTTATTTTTTAAGATGAACCGTTTTTTCCAAGCCGTTGTTAGATGCCAGTGTTTCTGTCATAACTGCAAAGATTTGATTTCAGAAGCAGTATCAGCCCCGCCCCCTCCCCCACCTCCTCTGCCTGTGGGCGGGTACGGGGGCCACGCCCAGGACGATAGCCACACCCCCACGGGTCTCGCTGCCATGATCGCCGGAGCCAAACTACGCCGTGTGCAACGGGTGCGACATCATCTCATGCTTCAAGAAGTGTTTTCACATTCATTTTTCGGCAGGCTGCAAACATGATCAAAATCCCCTTCAGATTGTATTTTATAATAAAAAAAAAAGTTCACTGAAAATGTCATATATAGTCACTTCTACTACACAAAAATTAAAGTTGAGACTCTTTAACATCCGTGGAACCGCTAAGGGTTCATTATAGTGAAAAACGTTTCTTCAGGTGATTAAAATGTTCTTTACTTTAAGAACTGATCACTGAAAGGTTCTTTAGGAGCCACAAACGGATCCTCTATGGCATTTCTGTGAAAACACATCTGGAGCCTTTATTTTTGAGAATGTAGAGTCATTACACTGATGAGTTTGAGACTGTTTGTGAGTCTTTTTGACTGATTCATTATAACGAATCCAGGGCTGCAAAACAATTAATCGCGTCCAAAATAAAAGTTTTTGTTTACATACTATATGTGTGTGTACTGTGTATATTTATTATGTATATATAGATACACACACACACACACATGTATATATTAAGGACAAATATGTTAGATTTATGTATAAAATATTTATATTTATTAGTGCTGTCAAATGATTAATCGCATCCAAAAACACTTTCTCACATCTCACATGAAAAAAACATTCCCAAAGGCCAATAATATCAATGAAGGTAGCAAAACAAAACGAGTCGGATCATCAGATAATGTGTTTGTGTTGATGTTTGTCCGCAGACGGAGGAAAGCTCTGCGTCCGGAGCCAAAAGCGAAGCCAACCGGAGCAGCGGCGGAAGCGGAGGCCTGATGGAGGAGATGAACGCGCTGCTCGCTCGCAGGTCATGTGATATTTCAGTTTTTCTTTTTAATAAATCTGCAAAAATGTCAACAATTCTGTGTTTTTCTGTCAATATGGGGTGCTGTGTGTACATTAATGAGGGAAAAAAATTAACTTAAATGATTTTAGCAAATGGCTGCAATATAACAAAGAGTGAAAAATTTAAGGGGGTCTGAATACTTTCCGTACCCACTGTATATACGATGTAAGGAAGAGATTAGTTTTTTGGGATCTGTTCGTTCTTTGATAATGCAAATGTTCTTTGTATATAATTGATGTGCCGTTTGAATAACTATGCACATGAAAGCGTTGTAATTAGTAACTTAAAATGTTTTTACTAAATTACGATCACGTTATATACAAGTTCGGTTTTGTAAAACATATTTTATCTGGAAGCCTTTTTCGGTTCACAATTCTGACTTTTGTTCTCGTAATTGCAGGTTTACGTCTCGCAGTTCTGACTTTTTTCTCAGAATTTCGTGATATGAATTCTAAATTCTGACTTTTGTTCTCGCAATTGCGAGTCATATAGTCAGAATTGTGCGTTATAAACTCGCGACTGTAAGAAAATAGACTTTTTCCCCCCTCGGAATTGCACTTTGTAATCGCAGTTCGAGTTCATGATATCTCACGTTTCTGAATTGTGAGAAGGCAGAGTTAGCGTAAGAATTGTGAGATAAAACTCGCAATTAGCTTGTTTTATTTTTATTCAGTGGGTACCATGTGCTTGCCTAAACGATGGGTTACGATGAGCGACACCAGACGTAATACACACTGATAATAAACACACATGATTAAACACACACTTGACTTCTGATCACAGACGGAAAGCAGCAGATGAGAAGAAGGACGGAGAAAGCCCAAGCGTGAGTACAGAGCTGATGGAGATGTTTAGCAGCTAACTGAGGTCGATTTTCAATTAAGTTGGACTTTTTTTAATTAAATAATAATTATATTATATAATTATAATTATCATTTATTTATTATTTCACAGGACAATTGCAATTTACAACTGTAATATATTCATTTTAGAGTTAAAATAATAATGCCCTGTATATAAATAATTTCACAATAAACACAAAACACTTAATGAAGAAGATACGTGAAAACGTAATATATTATATATTTCATACTAAGTATAGTTTAAATCTATTAGCATATTTACTGACAGATAACTCGAGACTTATAATTAAACTTTACTTGGAATATTACTCGTGCACAATGCACTTTTCTTAATATTAGTCTAAAATGTGTTTTGATGAGGATTGTATGATCTTTAAACGCAAAATATTTAAAGTGTACTTGCAATAGTTCTGTGCACAATGCACTTTTCTTAATATTAGTCTAAAATGTGTTTTGATGAGGATTGCATGATCTTTAAACGCAAAATATTTAAAGTGTACTTGCAATAGTTCCACTTTAGCGCAATCAAGTATGCTAAGTATTATTACAAGTATATAGTATGCACAATTAAAGTACAAAATTAGTTGTTTCAATTTAGCAGATACCAGTTTAGTGTACTAATTGCAGGACAACGTGTATCTGTAGTATACTTGGCATGAAATAAATGTATTTCAGATACATTAAAGTGTGTTTATTTTTGAGTAGGAGTCCGTGTGTGTGTGAAAGGCTGATTGTGATGTGTTTCAGGAGGATCGCGCGTCTCGTGGACAGAACGCCGCAGGTACTTGTGCATCTGAATGAGAGCAGTGCAGTAAGTGTGTGTGTCTCAGGTGAGCTCAGGTGTGCTGTGTGTCGTTCTGCAGATGCAGTGAAGAAGCCGTGGGACCGAGCCAGTTCAGCCGAGAGGTCCTCGCTGGTGTCCAGGTCAGAAACACAACACCGCAATCCAGGTTCTCTGCACACATACTGCCATCATTTCAGAAGTGAGGGGGACAGACGTGTAATATATATAACATTTCTGTAATATATAACCTACCAGTCAACAGTTTTTTAACGCTTTTAAAGAAGTCTCTTATGTTCACCAAGCATTAAAAATCTTACTGTCCAAAAACTGTTGACTGGTAGTGTATAGGCAACTTAAATATTTCTCTTATTTCTAGCTTTTAATTGGCTAAGAAATCAGATAACTGCTGGACAGTAACCAATAATAATGATTTCTTTATATACTACAAACACTTTTTTTATCACATAATAAGGCAGAATAAGTTCTATACTGTAATGGATGCTATCAAGTAGCACTGCATTGTTCATATACTTTATTTATTAGCCGGAGATGACTTAAAAAACACAAATAAACCATATATTGTCGCAATCATATGTTTAATGTCTTCATGTTTCCAAACGTTTCTGATTTTGTGTGAAACGTAAACAACTGTTTTCATACCGCGATAGCTGGACGCTTTTGTCCATATTAGGGATCTCCTCGTACGCCTCCGGCTTCGAGTATGAATGAAACACACACTTCTGTAATAAAATAAAAAGAACTGATCAATGAATCATGTTTATTATTAACTGATAAGAATGATTAATGCATACATTATGTATTGATATGCAAATAAGCAAACTTTTTATTTTATTACCAGAACGTATTATTCACCATTAAAACATGAAACTTCAATATACTGAAGTGTTAATTCAAGGTAGTATGGAAGCCTATTTCTGCCATGAAATAAACAATAACAAGGTAATTGTGACTTTTTATCTCACTTTCATTTTCTCTCAAAACTGAGGAATAGCGATAAAACGTCACAGTTATCATTTAGTACTTTTTATTCCACGATGGAAACAAAACAAAACAGAAAAATGGCCAGATGGAAACTCAGTCTGAATTGCAAAGGGGAAAAAATAATTCTCAGACAAAAAAGTGAATTACCTTTTTTCATTTTTATCCTGTGGCAGAAACCAGCTTTCATATGTTACTGATAATTTAAGTGTGCGTAATATTATAAAATGTATTTAATTTGATATTTTAAAAATGAGCAAAAAACTAAATTTGTGTAAATGTGTGGCAGGACATACTGTAAATCGCTCGATCATGTGATCTGTGATGTTACGATGATGTGATGTTATGATGATGTGATGTTATGATGGTGTGATGTGATGTGTTATGATGTGATGTTATGATTTGGTTATGATGATGTGATGTTATGATGATGTGATGTTATGATGATGTGTTATGATTTGGTTATGATGATGTGATGTTATGATTTGGTTATGATGATGTGATGTTATGATTTGGTTATGATGATGTGATGTTATGATGATGTGTTATGATTTGGTTATGATGATGTGATGTTATGATGATGTGTTATGATTTGGTTATGATGATGTGATGTTATGATGATGTGATATGATGTGATGTTATGATGATGTGTTATGATTTGGTTATGATGATGTGTGATGTGTGATGTGATATGATATGATGTGATGTTATGATGGTGTGATGTGATGTGTTATGATGTGATGTTATGATGATGTGATGTTATGATGATGTGATATGATTTGGTTATGATGATGTGATGTTATGATGATGTGGTGTTATGATTTGGTTATGATGATGTGATGTTATGATGATGTGATGTGATATGATGTTATGATGATGTGATGTTATGATGATGTGTTATGATTTGGTTATGATGATGTGATGTTATGATGGTGTGATGTGATGTGTTATGATGTGATGTTATGATGATGTGATGTTATGATGATGTGATGTTTTGATGATGTGTTATGATGGTGTTGTTATGATGTGATGTGATGTTTTGATGATGTGTTATGATGGTGTTGTTATGATGTGATGTGATGTTTTGATGATGTGTTATGATGGTGTTGTTATGATGTGATGTGATGTTTTGATGATGTGTTATGATGGTGTTGTTATGATGTGATGTGATGTTTTGATGATGTGTTATGATGGTGTTGTTATGATGTGATGTTATGATGATGTGTTATGATGTGATGTTATGATGATGTGTTATGATGTGATGTTATGATGATGTGTTATGATGATGTGATGTTATGATGATGTTATGTTATGATGTGATGATGATGTTATGATGATGTGATGTTATGATGATGTTATGTTATGATGTGATGATGATGTTATGATGATGTGATGTTATGATGATGTTATGTTATGATGTGATGATGATGTTATGATGATGTGATGTTATGATGATGTTATGTTATGATGTGATGATGATGTTATGATGATGTGATGAATGCAGTGTTTGTGTCTGTGTTCAGGGTTCGAGCCGTGGGCAGCATCAGCGACTCAGACGCCTTAGACTTCGACAGAATGAAACAGGTAAAGATGACCATCAACATACTATTATAGGTTTTATTCATATATTAAGAATTTAATTTTAGATTTTAATTTGAGTTAATAGTTTAGTTATTTAAGTGTGTTTTTGTCATTTTTAGTTGTTTATATATATATATATATATATATATATATATATA